ATATTATATAGTATTTGTATATTATATTATTTTGTAACTTTTTCTTCACTATTCTTTTTCTGTGACGAAAAAAATTATGGTTTAGAATTTTTTTTTAAAATATAATAATAATAATAATAATAATAATAATAATACCTTTATTTTAAATTTAAAAAAAATTGTTTTTGGCAAATATATACAAAAAAATACATGTATAAAAACTCACAAAAATATAAAAGGAAATGTATATAAATTATTATTATTATTTAAAGAACATAATTTATACCAAATATAAATACATGGTCCTGAACCGCAGGTCAGGACATATACATATACACACATCTACATATATATATATATATATATTTGTGCTGCATATGTTGTGAAACCTCTTTTTATCTCCATTGATGCTAACTGATTTATTAGCGATTTATTAGTTAAATGTGAGCCAAAATCATCACAATTAAAAGAACCAAAGACTTAAACTACTTCAGTCTGTGTGCATTGAATTTATTTAATACACGAGTTTCACAATTTGAGTTGAATTACTGAAATAAATGAACTTTTCCACGACATTCTAATTTATTGAGATGCACCTGTATCTCAGAATGACCATGGGTTACCACATTTCAAGAATGGGGTTAGTCTAGTCACATGACCTCAAGATGACAGCCATCATAAGGAGAGATTGTTGTAGTCTATATTTATTTTGTGCACCTATCAGAAGCAGTATGGAAACAGACGACTGAGAAACTGTCACTGCAACCATCCAACCGTGAAACATCCAACCGTGAAACATGCTGTTCTGAGCTGCAGGGTTGCACCAGACAGTCAAAACCTAATCAAGGCTGATAGAGGGCACAGCAGGTGAGTGATTATCGCAAGCTGGCAAAGTTACATCACGCTAATTAACCAATCAGCTAAGCGTGTTAAGGTATGAAACTTCATAACTTTTTTTAGTTTTTTTTACAAACAATTCACACTGAAGTCCACACGTGCAGACGTACAACAGGTAGCTGTGTCTGTTTACTCCATCTGGGTGAAGCAAAATATGTGTGTGCATCTGATACAGTGAGCCGTCTCGCTCTCAGGCTGTGGTTATGTAACTGTTCCTGGCCAGGTTTAATCGAATGAGTCCAGCCGCCCTCCTCCCCTCCACAGCTGACTGGACGAAGAGCTTACAGCAGCAATCCTCTTCTGCAGCGTCAACGGACGGTGTGGACGAGCTGTGCTTAATTACTACCAACATGGCCTAAATCTCAAGTCTCCTCGTTTTACCCTTGCAGTGGTAATGGTGGAGCCTTGTGGTTAAAGATCTGGGCTGGTAATCTAGCGATCTTCACGGTGTCATTGATTGAGACACTTAACCTCGGGATGCTCCAGGGAGGATTGTCATTGTAGTAGCGTATTAGAAATCGCTTCAGGTAAAAAGCTTGAAGATAAAACGTGGTTAGCTTTCAAAAAAGTAGCCTAAACAATGTCCAAATAGCTACTGGCGTGTTTTAGAGGGAGTAATTACATATTACACATACAGTTTAATACATGAGATATTAAGTCGCAATTACGAGAAAAAGTTAATGTTTCTCGTAACTGCGACTCTCTCACAGTGCAACATCTCACAATTGCTATATTGTTTCTTACAGTTTGCAACTTACTCCTCACAACTGCGATTTCATCTCCTACAATGCGTCTATCCAAAAATTGCAATATTGTGAGATAGTCACTATTGCGAGAAAAGTAAAAATTGTTTTTCGTAATTCCGAATTTTTCTCCCAATGTGACACTTCACAATTGCTACATCGTTTCTGACAATTTGAAACATTTTCCTCATAATTGCGACTTCATTTCAAAAACTGCGATATTGTGAGACAGTCACAATTACAAGAAACAAGTCTGCAATTATGCGAAAAAATTATTGTTTCTCGAAATTGCGACTATTTCTCACAATGTGACATCTAACATAGTTTCTAGACTGTTTGCAACTTTTTCCTTATAATTGCAACTTCATATCTCACACAATCTTCCTCAATAGCGACTTTGTATCTTGGACAAATTGACTACCTAAATATTGTATTTTTTGGAGATAGTCACAATTGCGAGAAAAGTTATAATTGTTTGTCCTAACATTTTCCTAACTGCTATATTGTTTCGGAAAATTTGCAACGTTTTCCTCATAGCTGCGACTCCATATCTCACAATGTGACTTCATATCCAAAAATTGTGCTAGTGAGATCACAAATATGAGAGAAACACAATTACGAGAACCAAGTTTGCACTTATGAGGACTTCTCACAATGCGACATCTGACTTTGTTTCTGACAATTTGCTACTTTTTACTCATAATTGCAGGTTCATGTCGCAAAAACATGAGAATTTCCCAAAAATTTTGATATTGCGAATCACAATTGTGAGTTATAATTTAGAATAATTTGCAATGGTTTCCTCATAATTGCGATTTCATTTTGTCACAATTAAGAAAAACATTTGCATTTATGAGAAAGTCCATTATTTCTCGTAATTACAACTTTATTTCTTACAACATTGTTTCTCACAATTTGCAACTTCATAACTCAGTGTGAGTGAATTTTTGAAACTAAAGTCGTTATTACAAGAAACAAATTTGCAATGGAAAAAGTCAAATTGTGAGTTACAAAGTCACATTGTGGAATGTAAAGTCACAATGACAAGAAAAATGGAGATTTAGCTACAATTGCCTCCCGGTAAAATTGTGGTAAATTTCATGTTAACTTTAAAAGATAGCTCTCTCTGTGGGGTTTGAACCTACAACATTTTGGTTACCAGTCCAGATGTTTAACCATTAGGCAAACCCCAAAACAAAAGAACAGCTCTCATGTTGGCAAACAGGGCATTTCCTCCTCTTTGGCAGCCTGGAGAGAGGCAGCAGTGGTGATTTGATCATTAACAGGATTCAGTGTTTATCACACTCACAGATGCTGTGTGTGGCTCATGCAATTAAGGAGCTGTTAAAACAAGCTGTTAATTAGAGCCAGAAGGAAGGCACTGATAAAACTGTCACATACGTCTACAACTACCATCTTAACAGCAAAGCACAGGATGACATGAGGGCCCAAAGGTCTTGAAAATGTAACGTTTTAAAAGGATGAAGAATGTTTTAAAGACAGAAAAATACACTACTGCTAAAAAAAAAAAAATCTTATTTTTTTTATTTTTTAAATTCTATTTACATTTTTTATAAAATGGTAATTTTTTTTAAATGCTTAAACTCAAAATCAATTTGTTGACCATCTTGCCCACTCCTACTAAAAACTCGCCGTGATTTAATAAGAAATAGTTAAGGAGGGATGAGTATGCTGTTGGATGATGCTGCTGTTTTTCTTTGACATAGGCTGAATGGAAAGAGAGTTTATGTAGCGTAAAGGATGTTTTTTTTTTTTGAATGACAAGCATGAAGGAATGCACTCAAGAATGCACACTGTCCGTGTTCAACAAGTCTTTCTGGCGGGTCAAGCTGAAGACACATCAATACCTGCAGACGTGTTTGGCTGTTGCTGAGTTACTCACGTGAACACTATTTACCTGCCAGCTAGTTTGACAACTTTGTGCTAAGAACTGAATAGAAATACCTTATTACACAGCAATGTTTGTTTTGGCAGAGCCTAGAAAAAGTCTGGAGTGACATTCTTTCCAAACTGCAATGAAGACTGATTATACAGGTTATGAAATGTTTTTAAAATGTCTTAACTGAAAATATTAAAAAAAGGGAGTATTCAGACAGCTCCAGACAATTTTGCACACTTTGCATTGTTACACTCTACTATTTAAAAGTCTGGGGTCAGTAAGATTTTTAAGCATTTTTATAAGTAGTCTCTTATGCTCATTAAGTCTGCATTTATTAGATCAAAAACACAGTAAAAACAAGAATATTGTAAAATATTATTACAATTTTAAATAAATTTTTTTATTTGAATATATTTTTAAAAAATGCAATTTATTCCTGTGATGCAAAGCTGAATTTTTAGCATCATTACTCCAGTCTTCAGTGTCACATGATCCTTCAGAAATCATTCTAATATGCTGGTTTGCATTATCAACGCTGAAAACAGTTGTGCTGTTACAAAATTTGTGCAAACCAAAGATTCCAAAAGAAAGAATTTTAAATAGAAAGCTCTTATAAATGTTCTTTACTGCCATTTTTGCTAAATTTAATGCATCTTTGCTGAAAAAAAAAAAAAATACTAATTTCTTTTTAAAATCTTACTGACCTCAAACTTTTGATTGGTAGTATATAGGCATTGTGCCCCAAATGAGGAAAAAACGGGGGGAAATTCCCCACCTAAGAAATCATATTGTAATTGGATTTCAAAAGAAATATTGATCTGGTTTGTTCATTTCAAGTAGCCTTTTGCTGTTGAGAATACAAAACAAAATGTATTTGAGGCCGATACACCAAAAAACTGACTGCCTATTTGAACAAAGACACAAAAAAGCTGTCATCAAGAAAGTCTTCAGCTCACACACTCTCACACCTGCAAACAGACAGTCAGAGAAAGACTGTACAATAGGGGCCTGAAGAGAGATTAATTGCCCCTGCTGCTCAAACTGAAGACACCTGTTGTGTTATATAAGCCATCAGCAGCATAACCTGCCTGAAGCACTTTTTCCAACACGTAGACACAAATGTTCCTTGCCTAATGTACAGGTTTCCAGTCTCACGCTGACTGTCCAAGAAGGATTAAGCAGTCTATTAGTATCTATGGGTATAATCCAGGATTGTGTGTATTCTTGAGCGCTGAAACACTTAAACCCAAATCTTTCTTGCTAATGTAGTCTGACTGATGAATTTGCATTAGTTATTAGAAAATAAAACATTACTTATCAAATTAGCTTGATGATAATAATAAAAATTTAAAATGTGAATATATATATATATTTTCTAATTCATTTTTTAATTGTGGAAATATTATAAATATTTTATTTTATATTTTGTGAAATAATACATTATTAAATATTATATATAATATGGTAAGGTTAAAATATTTGTATAGTACTACAGTGTACATCTCACCTTCCTAATGCCTTGCAAGCAGTAGAGAACTGTCAGGTTGTATGTGCAATTCCCAAATGAAGCATCCCTGAAAGAGAAAAGAGAAGGCATGTTAAAATTGCGTGGGTGTCTTCACACAATATAATAAAAAAAGAAACACCCACAGGAATATAAACAAGAACATCAAGTCATGTTATGAGCAAAGAAGGGGAACACAGACACTGATTTCAAACTGGCTCTCAGGTGGTCTGCTTTCATCCGGAGTAAACCATTACCTGCCCATGAATACAAGTAACTGGGTCAGGGCCTTTGTGTTTGGATGTGGGAGTGAAAGTAAAGCGGCAGGCGAGACTGTGTTGGCTTTTGTCATGTGTTTTTAAAGAAAGTAAACCTTGCAGTGGAGAGTGTACACGTGGGTAACCTGTAACATGATGGGTTACATCTACAAAGTCAAGGCGAAATTAATGTCATGGACAAGATTGTTTTGATCACATGTATGAGGAAGTCCAATTCAGGTTTGTTTGTGTACCCAAAATGATGTTATTGGATCAAGGGAAGCGAGGGTTGTAATGAAATGCCTCAGAAACTAAAAGGGGCCAATACACCATCCCTTGCCTAACGCATGTCAAGGAACAGGTTCTTTGTGTCCGCTTTAATTGAGTTTTGCATTATGCATGCGCTTAATTCACTGTGTATGATGCAGGCTGGGTTGCATAAAAAGAGGGTCAGTGTTCTGCTGGGATCCTTTCATTAGTCTCCCAGTGTGCCTCAATGGAAAGTATCAGGCTCCATTGACCCACACAAACACCACATACTCGCATATGCAAACCCTTAACTTCCAGAGGTCCTGTGTATTGGTCCACTGCTTCAAGGCAACAAAATCATTAGACTTGATAACTCTACCATAAGTAGGTTGATTTTTTTGAGGAGCAAAGAATGATTTTCAAAGCAATGTTTCCATTTTAAGTTCCTTAATATTCCCCTTAAATCAAAATTATGGTTAAGTGCCTTGCTCAAAAAAACAAAACAAAAACATGATGGATTTGAACTTGCAACTTTCAGTTACTAGCCCAGATGTTTAACCACAAGGTTTTACCACCACCAACTCAAATATGAAGAAAAAACACTAATAAACAAGCACAGTCATCTTTAAAAAAAAAAAAAAAAAAAAAAAAAAGGAAACAAGAGGAAAACCAAGGCAAGTTTCCAACAGAGCTTTGCAGAAAATTGTCTTTTGTTCACACAATTATCTGTACCATATACTGTCAGCAGGATCCAAGATATGTTTGGAGAAACAGCTGGAGACTTTCATCTTCCTTCCCACAGCACAGAGAAATGTTGAGCCAATCGATTTGGCTGTAGAAACACAGTGGCTTACTGGCACCAATTAAAGACTCCGGGAGTGGAGGCCAGGAGATAGACAAACCTCATTTAAAACAGCACATCTTTGTCCACTTTTAATTTACAAATTGGTCATTCAGTAGATGCTTTCATTCAAGGACACCTGCAATGCATTACAAGGACAGTCCCCACCCCCAGCCCCCCCCACCCCCGGAGTAACCAAAGGTCAAGTGCCTTTCACAAGGGCACATTGGTTTTGCCCCTTGTGGGGTCTGGACTATCTTGCTATATCAGGATTAGTTGGTCTCAAATGGACAAAAAAACTGGACTAGATCTTGCCATACAGGGCAGAGTAGGACTTGCTTACTTCCTCTGGAAGACTGCCACTGCTTTCCTCTTAGTATTGCCAAATATTTGGGCAGACAGAGAAAGATTCTTCCCTCTTCTTACATAATGGGAGAGCAATGCCAAGGTCTGAACTGTCCACTGTAGGACTGAAGCCCCCCATCCGGGTCACTAGAGCGGTGTCTCCAAACTTGTGTAACAATTGCACACCGGTTCACTTGAACGTAGATTACACTCCCAACAAACCATCTGAACTATCAGGTTACTTGAAATGCCATCCTAAAAATACATTGCTTGAAAACAATAACTTCAGGTCATGTTGTGCATACCATTATTAGGTGTATACTTGTAGGTTATGTAAGTTTATTTCCAAGTATGGCTTGGTGTGGAAAAATGCTCTGCAACCAAGATCAATGTGCAGACATTTTGGCTGGATAGCAAGCCATTGCTTATGCAAGATGGATGAAAACCTTACATTCCAGAGTGCCCTGAATGTGAGGCTACTTTCTAGCCACAATGATCCAGAATGGATCAGCCAAAGGTCAAGTCCACAGCTAAAAATAAGTCTTAAAAAGTGGCCATCTAAAATCCATTCAAGCCCTGTTCCTGGAACAAGAAAAATGTGATGGAAGAGGCGCAGCATGTTATTATTTTCAGAATTAAACGTACCTTTTTATTCAACATCTCGTTGTAGTTTCTTCCTCTGGTGATGTACTCAAACATGGGTCTCACACAGAGCTTCACTTTATTCAATGGTATGACCCATTCATTGTTTCCCATCAGGACCCCTTCCCTCTCATAGACAACAAAACTGTTTACTTTCTGAATTAACCAATTGCTAAGCATTGCATAACCATGTCACACTGTTTGTCTCCACTAGTAGCATGGCTCCAGCAGCCAAGTGGGGGGAGCACTGACAAAGCGCTTTTCTTCCCTTGCACAGCTACGCTGCTAACAATCACATCTTTGTGGAAAAACAAGAGCCCAATTAACCTTCAAGATGGACAGGACGGCAAACAGAGAAAAAGAAGTGCCATAAGAGGCACGACTAGTAAACGTACTGCAGGATTTTATCAGGGTTGAGGAGTAACAGAATACATGAAAGGGCATTACGTAATAAGGATACAAAAAAAACTGGTAACTGTAATTCGTTATAGTTATGTGAAAAAAACAAGGTAATCAGATTACAGTTACATTTTGTAAAAACTGGGAATACTATCAGGATTGCAAAGTTTCATTTAAGTAAGAAATAATTGAGGACAGGCCGTTGAATTATTCGAAAATAATGATTCGAGGTGGTGATGCGGCCATGACGCAAAGCGTTATTAATGCAGTTATGACCGAGAGAGAGAGAGAGAGAGAGAGACAAAGACAGACAGACAGACAGAGAGAGAGAGAGAGAAAGAGAGAGATTAAGCGTGTGTGAATTACACGAGTCTGTGTGTTTTTCGGCAGTGTTCAGCAGCAGCGTCTCTACTAATATCGAAACTGTAATTCATCTGCTTCAATAACAGCGCTGTTATTACCTCAGTAGTGAGAAATGTCATGTAGCCTTTAACTCCTAAACTGTTTTACTGATAAAATCGTCAGAGCAGTGCTCACAACACATTTCTGTGCGCATGAATGTTTCTGTGTGTGCAAATGTGTGTCTGTCTTGTATGTATGTGCGTTTGAGAAAGAGAGAGCAGGAGAAAGAGTATGTGCTTTCCGTACATATAACTTTGTGGCAAAAACATGGAAATAATTAGTCTTTTTAATCCTATTGTTTAAAGGGGTCATATGATGCTTTTTTAAAGATCATTATTTGGTGTATTTGGTGTAACAGAATATGGTGACATGCTTTAATGTTCAAAAAACACATTATTTTTCAAATACTGTACATTATTGTAGGTCCTCTATGCCCCGCCTCTCTCAAACGCTTCGTTTTCTACAAAGCCCCCTCCTT